CCTTTTTATATATATTCTTATAAATTTTTTCCTTTTTTTAATTTTAAATTATTAGTAAAAGTAAAGTATACAAATGAGAAAATCTTCTTTATATTGGTTGAAACCGTCAATAAGAACCGATTAATGGGCTGTAATAAACATAAAATGTACCATTAATGTCTTGGTATTAAGCATGTTGAGGATTTTTATTTGGAGTCGAACAACAACTTGAGATTTAGATGACATTGAGTTCAAATAGATTATGTTAGGATCTTTATAAGATTTATTAGCAGTCTAACTCGAAGAATGACATATAAAATCCATTAATTTTTCTAATTTATTATAAGTTTAGGATAAAACATCAACGATTTGGTGGTATATTCCATCAATTGGATATACATGGATTAACATATAAATGAACTTTGTTATCCATTTGTCACATAGAGAAAATATGAGGTTGTAAGATTATTGTCAATGGCTAAAAATGTCTATTTCTTACCAATCAATTTGAAAAATTATTTTTAGAAAAAGGTGACACAACTCTATATTAGTAACATTGTCAAACTGGAGAAAGTAGCTTTTAAAATAGTATATAAATAAAGATGAAAATAATTACGTGGTAGAAACATTTACATGATTTCGGTGACATGGGATCTAAGATCTTTTCTACTTGGAGATGAAAGAAAATATAAGATCCACCAATTATTTACATGATACATAAAACATGAAAAAAGTTTGAAATTTTCGTTAGATTGAATAGTATATTAAATACCCATTAATGGACTGGTATGATATTGATTGATTTTGATTAAAAAATATAATGAAAAATGTGGCAGGAATTTTATGATGATGAAATTAAAATATATGTTGTATCTAGGGGTAGAACCATACTTTTATATAAAATTTTAAAATGGAAATTATTTTTGATATGCTTTCAATCTAAACCCTATTGTATTTAAATGTTGCAACTCTAAATCTTAAAGAATATGAACTTAAAAAAAACTTAATATAACCTCAAATTTATTTTATGCATATTAAACTGTGACATTTATCAAGTGCAAAGGGTATCCAACCTTCAACAACACATTTGACATTCATGATGTTATTTAAATTGCTTATTAAATGTTACACTTGATATAAAATTTTGAAAATGTTGAATTTTTAACCTTTAGACTATTTGAGATTGTGAAAAATAGGTTGTTTTTGTTGGTTGTGCATAATTTTCTAATGAGTGAGAATTAACCCAAGAAATCTTAATAACCTATGTTTTAACCAACATACGGACTCTATTTTATGATGATAGATTATATAACGTGTGTGTATATATATATATATATATATATATATTTATAAACTATGATTTAGTTTTTTTTAATTGTTATAGTTATTTTTGGAGTTAACCAAAAATATATTGTAACCATAAGTGTGTTATTATTAGCCAACATAATGGTGTTTTATCAACCTAAAATCACCTTGCAAAGAAAAAACATTACAGGTCCACCAAGGTTAGACAGCAGAAGTCAAAGAAACGGCGTGCCAATTCCAGTGGTTTGCCACGCGGCAAAACCTGATAGGATAAAGCGTCGTGGCTGCACAAGGGGTTTCTGGTACCCATCGGAGATTGCACCAAAACATTTTTGGTGCAAGTCTCAACCTTTTTTTCTGTTCGGAATTTGCATTGAACAAAGCAAGAAACCAAGAGAAGAATGAAGAAGATGTGGGTTTGGCATCATCCATTGTTTCTTCTGTACATTCTTTGTGGCCTCTGTTTTTCTCTGCAGTTCACAAGGGTATCTTCAATCTCACCTACTTCATACACTAATCATGTAGTTATAAAAAATAAAAGTGATCCTTTTATGTGCTTTTGTCAGTTTTGTCGAATTATTGGAAATACCCATTTTTCTTCTGGGTGGGATTTTGCTGAATTTAATCATTGGCTATTTGGTTTGCGTGAATTTGAATTATTCTAGCACATAATGGAGATCCAAGCGATTGAGGATCCTTGGTTCTTTCTCTGCACAAATCAATATGTTCTTGTATGATTTTTCTACCTTTTCTACTTGAGGAATGGGAATTGAGCATTGCATGCTGTGTTTCTTACTTTCACACCGTGGTTACCTCCTCTTTTTGCTGAAAGTTTCATTTTGTTGCCGTGGACTATTTGGGATCGCTTGAATTTGGATTGCCATAGAATGGAGTTGTGATGTGTAAGGAATTAGTCCAGTTTCTGTTCATGCTGTGTTTTTGTTCTTATTTTCTAGCTACCTTTCTTTGGATGTTAAAATTGATCGGCATATTTTTCGTGTGAATCACCGTAGAAGTAGGAACTTTTTAAATTAGTATTGTGAGCCGTTTTTTGCAATTATCTTCAGCAGCTAAGTTAGGTCCTGGTTTTGTTTTGTTTATTTTTAGTTCCAATTTCCAAACTTGTGCAGTTATTTTTCTAATTTTCATGACAGTATAAACATAAATCTTCAATTGTTTCTTTGTACAGGTTTATGCAGATTCAAGTGCTGGAAGGTGAGCGAGCTTTAAACTGAGTATTTTGAACCAGAAGAACACAATTTTTAGCTTTCATTTTGTAGTTAACTGCCTCACTTCGTGGTTATCCGGTTATTGATAAGGGCAAGGAATTAAATAACTAAAATGGTGTATGATTCGTACTTGATAAACTTTTGTCGTTGTTCGACGTCAGGAATTAGTATAATTTGTTTTATTTGTTTCCTTCTTTTACTTTCTATTGGTCTATCTCTGTGCCTTTCTTGCTTCTTGTTCCAAGATTCAGGAATTGGTGTGGCTAATATATGATGTAGCTGTTCAGAATTTTGAATCAGGTGGATGGTGATCATCAAATACATTGCTCTAGAGAAAGAAGTAGAACAGCTTGGAAGATCATTCAGGAGGTATTAGAATATATCCAAACAAATAACTCCCATTGATATTAGTGTACATTCTCCTGATATATGATTTTTGCTGCAGTATTTGATGCCCTTTGTGGAGAAAGAAAAATATCATATCCCAAAACGGTGTAGGTTTCACCCTGACAATGACATATACAGAGATCAGGAGCAGCACAAGTTTCATATAGATATAAATGAATGGCAATGTGGGTACTGTAAGAAAAGTTTCTATGAAGAGAAACATCTTGATCAGCATTTTGACAACAGACACTCCAATTTGCTTAATTTGGTAGATAATTCTTCTTCAATACTATTTTTTATTCTTCCGTTAATGGAAAAATGTCTAAAATATCTTTGAAAAGGTACAAATTGGGTTGGACTGAATAATCAAAATGTCATCAGTCACTATTTAGTTATGAATATGGTATTTTATGACATTATTATGGTCATCTCATGAGGAACGTGGAGTTGTAATAGGACCAAACTGAGCTCCAGTACTGCTTACCGTTGCTATGAGAAGATACTGCTGGTCAAGCTGTGCATCATGCATGTTTCGGCCTTGTCTAATTTTTAAGCCAAGCCTAACATTTAAGAATGGACTCAATTCATGTCCAGGACAAAGTAAAATACTTAGTTTCTTTAAGCTCTCTCTCTGTTTTGAGAGTTATCCCCACTTGACCTAGAAGCACAACAAAATATGTAGTGTTAGGTACCCCCCATTAATAGTTAGTTGGTCATTTGCCAATTATATTTGTGACTGGGATAATTATAGTAATAAAGCATGTTTGCCTATAAATATGAAGAGGGATTGAGAAAAGGAATTAGTTGATCAATTTATATCATATATAGGGAGAGTCTTGGGCTCTCTCAAAAATTCAGGGAATTTACTATTCTCTGTATTGTTTCAATTATGGGTACCCTACCCACGTTTTGGACTGCAAAGTAGGCTTCATCAATAAAGACTCTCATTTTTATTCACAAATCTGATCCAGTTGTATCATTTAGGAAATAAATACTTGTTGGATTGAGTTATATGGTCTTCCCTCATCAAAAGTAAAAGATATTTCACAAAACTTTCATATTTCAGTAATATGTTACTATGTTTAGCTTTGAAAATTTTGTAATAGTAACCCAAAAGATGAAAATTTTGGTAGTCTTCTCTGCTCAATCTTGTGATGCAGTTGCATTAATTACTGAAATGAGATAGCTGTGTTGAATCCAGAATGAAAGCCAGTGCTTAGCAGATGTATGTGGTGCACTGCACTGTGACCATGAAGTGAATTCTGGTTCAAAAAAATCAAAGTGCAATCCTGCCGCTGCTGCTAGAAATAAACATCTATGTGAGGTGTGCTTTGGTTTATCCATTCATTTAGAATAAAATGTAACTAATTTTTTGTGTTTCTAATGTACCTTTTTTTCATAGAGCTTAGCCGACAGTTGTTTTCCAATTAATGAGGGTCCTGTGGCAAGCCGACTTCATGGTATTACAATATTTTCTCCATTCTTGCAAAATATTGGCATATTTATGGTGGTTTATGAAATTGCTTTCTCATGTGAACACTTTGACAGAATTGTTTTTGCACCAATTCTGTGAGGCACACAGCTGCATTGGAAGTAGGCAACCTTTCTCAAGAGGGCGCAGGGTAATTCTGAAATCTATAATTGGTTTTATTTTTTTCAATCACTTCTTACTTTTTGTATACCTATGATACCTGTCCAACTATATACAATTTCTTGTATGAGTCATACACTGATACTCAATTTTCAGAAAAACCTTATTTGTATAAGGATTTTAAGAAAACGGGAACAATGTAACTTGAGAAATTGTATAGCTAACTGGAAAGAAAATCATAAAAGATCCCATTTACTTGTTACATGGGATCTTACTTTGGATATAGATCTCTCAATGAAAAGAAGACAAGGAAAAATATCTGCAGGATGAAAGTAAGAGAAAATTTCATTAACTAATTTTTTGACATGTGCAGAAGAAGACAAATGTGTTCTACATCTTTGTGTCTATTTTGCTTGTGATACTACTGCTACTATACTATCTCTACGTTTACTTATATCAGAGGTATTTACTTCAAAACTTCTCACTCAACCTTAATTTTGGAAAATTTTAATGGCTCCAACTAACGTTGGTCCTTTGTATTACAGAGGAATGAAAAAGGAAACCCAAGTGCTGAAGCGCATCTCACAAACCGGTAGAAAGAAAAAGCCGTCCTAATTGATTGTTTTTTCCACAAAGAAGTTCTCAATCAACATTTTCAAAAAGTGAAGGAGTCACTGATGGATACAGTGTAAAGTGCACTTGACTCCGACCTACATTTTCAGAGAGCAAAAGTGTAACTGATGGATAAAGTATAAACTGCTCTTGAAATCCAGTTTATACCAATCTGCTATTTGACCTCTGTGTTTTGCTAATCTGTAAGCCAGATTCTTGTACACTTTCTGAACACAAAATGGGGCAGCATGGCTCAGTCTGCCTTGCATGGCTACTTGCATTTGATTGTGCGTTACAACACTAACGAAAGGAATAACATGAACCCAGAATGTATTCTTATTTTGTTTTCTGACTTGATTGGAATTTATAGTGCAAACCTTTATTCATCATCTACAGCGATTTACTTTATATGGCTTTTTTTTTTTTCCAGAGAAATTCGTACTGAAATTATGTCAGTATCGTTATGCTGAGGAAATAAGGTTTCATTTTATCCTTCATGTCAGAAATTAGATGACAAAAACTAATGTAGCGGTGAACAAACTTTATTTTGAGCTTAGATTTAGTGTACATCTATGTTAATTACTTTTGCGGAGGTGTTGGCTTTGGGAATTGTTACATGAAGAATTCCATCTTTGACCTGTGCCTTAATCTTATCAAACTCAATGTTTTCTGGGAGGGCTATTCTATGGTTATATCTACCATAGCTATTGGCAGGCCAATCTTCTTCATATTTTGTATTTATTTCTTCATTACTGTTTGCTTGACCTTCATGGTGCTCTTTGAGTGTCTTCTCGGCCTTCACCACCAGCATGTTCTCTTCTACCCATACCTTGACGTCATCCTTGTTCATTCCTGGCATGTTGAATCTCATTCTGTAATCTGTCTGGCCTTCCTTTATTGCCCAAGGAATCTTTCCCTTACTGTATTCATCATCTCCTGCAACTATCCAAGGTGAAGTGCTATCATAAACTAAGGGATTCTCCACCATCCTCTCCATTGTGTCCATCATTTGCTGCACAGTCCTTGCTACCGGAAATTGGTTCAACAGCACTGCATAAAGAGTAATCATTTGTCATTTGTCAACATCACTGTGTTCAATGTATAATGAAGGAATAAAAAGAAATTATGAATTATTACTGTTCAATTACCTTTAGGTGAAGCTTGTGGCACCCTCATCATTGGCTGCTGCTGATGCTTTAACTTCTGCAGACTTGCTTCACCTCCTGCCGTAGCCTTTACATTGTTGCAGAAATTTCTATTCCCTGTATTTGACAATGGTAGCGATTTGACAGTGGAAAATTTGTTTATTCTACTAGATGAAGTGTGGGCATAGAAACTCATATTTGGTACTACAGTTGAGGCCATTTTTCTTTTAGGCAAAGATGCGAAGGGGATGTCAATGCTAGGGTAAGACAAAGGACATTGAGAAGCTGATGTTTGCATTTAAATTTATAGGATGCATTGGACATTTCTAGACCCAGATGATAAAAAATCTGATCTTTTGTGATGTGACTTCGGTTCACTCTAGAGTTCTCCACACAATTCTTCAGCAGCTATGCCATATTTACATATTCCATATTCCAATTTCTTTGTCCTTATGTAGCTTAAATCTAATTCAGCTTGGAGCAAATTATCGCGAATTCCTAATGTGCACTTTTGTTATCAAGCAACACTGTCTGGACCACAAGAAAAGAAGCTAACACAGACAAATTCTTCACTATTCCAACAGAGAGTAATATTTCTCACTGTCTCTCTGTCTAGCGATTCACTTCTTTATTGCTTTTTCCGTTGTCCTTTCTAATTTATTATGAAAAAGCTATCATTTTTTAAATCTTGTAAATATAGAGAGAGATAAAGCAAAAGTGAAGGTATTCGAAGTTTAATTTTCATCTTCTATGAAACCTTTTAATAATATTTAAATAAATATAAATATATTATAATGTAATTTTCATAAAATAAATTAAAGATAGTGTAAAGTTCTAATTTAACTACTGAAAGATACAAATTCCCGGATTTTCAAAGATCAAATAAAGTGAATTAATCATCACCTAAAGGGATCAAATTATTCAAATATACAATAGAAGACTTTTTTTAAATGCTAATTATATCTAGTACTGTTAAAATAACTTATTTTGAAGAAATACTTACCTTTTTCTGTTAGCTTCTTGATAGAAAATAGAACAAATAAACTTTTACTTTTTAGATAACTAAATAAAAAAAAACTGATATCATTTCTCCTCCCAGTTATGCTCATTGGGTCTTGTAAAGTTTACAATATAAGTTTTCACAGTGGAAATATGAGCATTATAAGGGTTTTGGCACATTGAACAAACACCAGGAAAAAAAGGTTTTTTTCCATTAAAGCCCACAATATTTTTCAGAGCACTTTGCAGCTAAGTCAAAAGAATTTTAAAGATTACAGATTCTATTACATGAATGTGGGTAAAGAAGAAAAAAAAACAAGGTACAGCAATTAAAATACAACAAGATCTAAAATGGAATCAAGAGCTCTCTAGAAAATACAGAACTGCCTTGGCAGACAATTATATTATCCTTTCCTCATAAAAAAAAAAAATTCGGAAAGGATGCAAAACCTTCCTGTATTCCCCTCTCTTCTCCAATAGTATTGGTATCCATAATTTACCATTCCTTCAACTCAAACCCTTCAACATTACAGGTTTCACTTTCAACAAATGAAGCTATCAGAGTGCCATGTTGATATTTGACACCAAATCTCAAACTGATATTTGGGTGATTAAACTGAAGTCTGCATCACTTCCTTCCTCTTGGATCCCTACTAAGCCCATGTTTCTTCAAAGTTTTAATGTAATTTCTCATAAGGGTAAACTTGTTACTCCCCAGATGATAAAAGTAGTCCCATGAATAAATACCAGTCTTATGCAAGTCATCAAAATTGAACCTGAACCAGCCAATTCAACAATCATGCATTACTGTCTAGTTCAGATGGGCAATAAAACAAGAACTCTGAAATTTAGATCTAATATGACAAAGCTTGCAGTGATACCTCACCCCATAGTTTCCCACTGGTTCTGCAGACATGATTCCTACGTGGCGCCTCCCAGATATCACCTGGTTCAAAAGGAAGTATAATTAGAAAGGAATCAATAGAATTCAATTCAACACCTCAAAATCGATTCTATTAGAAAGGATATTGTTATTGGGCGCATTTGGGCAAATAACTTAATTTAGTGCTTATAGAACAATAGGAGAAAAAAAGAAAGAAAAACGAACTAACTCACAGACTTCAAATGTGTAGAACCTGAAATGCTCATTTAACTTGGGGAAAATGTTTGATCTGAGCCTTTTATTTCATTTCTATACTCGTGCTTATGAAGAAATTGATCCATACAGGACTTTAGTGCTTGTCAAACAAACACTCATGCATAAATTGTTTCAATAATAAAAATGAAAATAGGATTAAACTGCTTTCCTACAAGTTGTAGCTGTTTTCATAAGCTATCCTGTGGAGTTAAATAATCTGAAAACAGCGTAGAGACAAATCATGAGCTACTTTCACAATCTGCCTCAACCACTTCAACAAGTGCTTCTCATTATAAGCCCAAATACAAAGAAACTTTTCAAAACATACCCTAATTCAACCATTAAATGATGATAAGCTCCCAAAAGTTGCTAGAAGTAGTACCTTTTCACCTCCAATTGACCTAATCTTCCCATCAACTGCGGGACTATTTATTCTGAGAAATTCAGCAGATAGCTTGAACATTCTACCATCGCCAAATTCCACCTCTACCTGAAACAACAACAAAATTCAAAATTCAAAACAAGAAACCATGATAATTATTACTTACGGAGGACATCACGGTTCCATCAATTCTATTTACCGTAAAAGTTTCAACCTTGCAATAAACCTGAATATTTTCATCAATTGATGTATGCTCAAAAGATATTAACCCTATCTATTGCAACCTAAATATGATTAATTTTAGTAAATTAAATAAATTTAAGGAAAAGTACCAATAGAAGGGTATGGAGACAATAGAGAGAAAAAGTAACTAACGTGTTTTGGAGCATGAAGAGAGAATCTGGTGATGCGCGCAGTTTCTCCTGCCACTGTCGTCATTCTCCGAATCGCTGCCAGCATGGTTCGAAGGTAATTCTCCAAACAAAGGTTTTGTTCAGTTTAGATTAGTAACTAAACTCTTTCTTCGTGTGCACTGGGAATATAGTAAGAATTTAATATTTATGTATTTTCATAAATATTAATATACTATTGTCAATACCCACTTTCAGATAACTAAATAAAAAAATAAAAATAAAAATTAATGGGAAAAATAAAAATTAAAGTAACGGCATACACAAAACAAAGAGGTATAAAGAACATATGTTTATTAATTTGAGGAAGAAAATGTATTCTCTTTTATATTTTCGAACAAACAAATAAGGTTTAATGTCTACGCAGGTCCCTATTTTGGTCATGAATTTCAAATAGGTCCTCTTCATTTTCGGCGTATCAATTGAGTCCTTTTTTTTGTAAAATTGAATCAATTACAGGCCTGCCGTTAATTTGGACAAACGGCCGTTACAGTATTGGTTACGTGGCATGGTTGAGTGCAGTTACTAATCAGACGTGGCATTTAAAACGATTTTTGTATTAAATAATTGGTATGCACAGATGTTATGCACAGATGTATATTCAGTTTTGGGTAAGGGCAAAGTAGGAAATTTGAAAAAAATTAAAGGCACAGATGTATCTGCAGAAGACTCCATCTTCTCTTCTGAACGAGAGAAATCCAGAGACACTTACCTCTGCCCACACAGCCACCGCAAAAAGGGGACGACCTCTACCGGTCTCGGCGTCGACGGTGACCTCAGGCGCCATCGGAACCACGACCGACCGCGGCGTCGCTGTCTTCTATTCTTCGAGCGCGAGGCTGACGCCGGCCACCCAGGACGTTGCCCATGCCGCCGCTCGTCACCAGGATCAAGACGGTCGCGACGCTTCTTCTTTCTCCGCACGCGGCTCAGATTTGCCAGTGCTACACGCGACCAACGCCAGCAACCGCCACCAGCGCTGCTTCGGATCCAGTCGCCACGCCGCCGCTGCTTCAAATCGGGCCGCCTCTAGTGCCTCCGTGGTTCAATTCCGCTCGCTCCGGTGCAGCTGCAGTTCCCAACCACCGTCACTGACGCGTGACTCCTTTAGAGGTTTGAAATCCTGATTTGGCTTGGGCTCGATTTTGTTAATGATGGCTGAAGAAAGTAGTGGTAATTTTATTTCTCAGTCCAACATTGAACTGGGTGAGGGAATGGAAGAAACTGTAGATGATGCAGGTGGGGAAAGTATGAATCTGGAGGAAGCAGTTGCAGAAGAAAGTGCCATGGTTTTGGAAAATTGAGATTGTGTAGAGTGGAAAGAATGAAGAGAGAAGACGAGGTTTGTGTGATGAGGGGTGGATACATCTGTGCCCTTAATTTTTTCAAATTTCCTGCTTTGCCCTTACCCAAAACTGAATATACATCTGTGCATACCAATTATTTAATACAAAAATCGTTTTAAATGCCACGTCTGTCTGATTAGTAACTGCACTCAACCATGCCACGTAACCAATACTGTAACGGCCGTTTGTCCAAATTAACGGCAGGCCTGTAATTGATTCAATTTTACAAAAAAAAGGACTCAATTGATACACCGAAAATGAAGAGGACCTATTTAAAATTCATGACCAAAATAGGGAACTACGGAGACATTAAACCAACAAATAAACATATTATCACAACCTGATTGCTATGTACAACTTGCACGTGAAAAAAATTAACAAGTAAATAATTTTAAGATTACTAAGATGGTCAAATCTAAAAACTTAAAAGCCTATTTGGTTTGAGAAAACATTTCTGTTTTCATCATTAATAATGAAAAACTGTCACCTTATTATTCATTCAGTGTCCTGTTTTGAAATATTGTTTTCATAATTTCCTATACTAATCTTTCAAAACAAGAAAAAAAGAGAAAACAAATTGAATTTTTTGAAAATATTAATGAAAATGGGAATGGAAACGTCAAACTTTTCCTCAAGCATGCCTCTACCTAGATAACTTGGAAAATGCAGCTTCAACACGAACAAAGAAAAATCTAAAAAAAACTGGAATTAAATAATTGAGGACTGAGGCAAGGCTTTCGGAGAAACTATAAGTTTAAAAAGGATATGTCATGCCATATTATGTGAGGCAAAACTCAGTATGTAGTTAGTAATTAATAGTAGTAAAATTGTAACATTTAGCAAGTCAGGTATTCCTGATTTCTTCAAATTAGTCCCAATTCCTCCAAGGAGGAAAAGAAAAGGCTTAATAAATTATAATAATTATTACAGATGAAAACATGCTGCTTTACATTGGTTTAGAAGATTTAAAAATTAAGCCTTCATTTATGTCACAAACTCTAATCTTAAAGACTAATGCTTTTCGAAAGCAAACAGAAGTTAAAAGCATGTTCATGTGAATTAAAAGCTAAAACCTAAAACCTAAAAGCCAAAGATGGAACTTAAAGTAACAATATATATTAAAGATGTCATTTAATAGTCACTAGAGGGGTTAGGATTGGCCCGGGACTGAAAATTAAAATGACAGCTAAGACCATTGGAAAAAAGGTTTAATGAGCATGATCCATACACTGTCAAAATGAAATGATGAAAATTAAAAACTAATTTATGTTCCTGGGACAAGATTTTCTCAATGTAGTTTGGTCTAGCCGATTAAATACTGAAGGCTTACCAAATGCTTCTTTATCTTTGGCTTTCATCAATAGTCACAAGAGGATATGCAAAATTGAAAGAACAACATCAATGAGTGTGTAAATTGTAAACCAAGGAGACACAAAAACATGCCTAATGAATGATATGCCATGCCATTGATTTCTGGGAGATAAATATCCCTTAGAATGTCACATACCTGTGCATGATCATTAGTAGATTATTAGAAGTAGATTAGTCCCACACTGAAAAATTGAGGTAATTTAAGGGATAGGAAGAGTTATAAAACTTAAGCTTTGGACCCGTTGTTACTCACTTACCTGGGTGGGGTGTATGGACGATCAATAAGGTCTATCGCCTAGGGTTTTGACCTCCATTGCACATAGGAGGGGCATTATCCTAAGGTCTGTTCTATGAACAGAGTCTACATCAAAATTTCTTGCAGTGGGGCTTGCGTTCGCGCAGCCCTCTTCTATTTTGAGTAAAATATTATTTCGTCTCTTAGTTCGTCTTTTTTAGTGCAGTGTTTTTTCTTCTCTTAACTCTTCTTTTAGTACAGTTGTTTTTATTCTCTTAACTCTTCTACTTTTAGTACAGCATCTTCTACTAACTCAACGTTACTTTTTTGCTGGTTCAAATTTTTGTCAAGGTCCACATTTCCAGATTTGACATTTTTATTGAATATGGAACTCTACTAATTGTGGTTTGGTAATGGCTTTATTAAGTTAGCACCTAATCGCTTTATATTTGATTTTGTACTTTAAAATGAATGACAATTTGATTATAGAAATGCTTTTCAGAACTGGAAAAATATGTTGCTTTGCCTAAGACTAGGTTTAGTCTTGAAACTGTTGAGATATAGGTAAAATGAGAGGTACTATTGCAAGTTCAATGCAAAATAGATGTTGCACTAGTTAGCTTTCCAAACTTGTAGTTTGAGAAAGTGCACAAACACTTGCCACAGATTTATATGCAAGTGTTTCAACTGTGTTTGTGCAACAAAAATTCGCAAAAGAATATTTGTAAGACGGGACTTTGAAGTATCCTATGGTAAAAGAGTCCCACATCAGGAAATGTCAGCCATAATAAATTAGAATATGATTATAAGATTGAAACTAGGTGAGTTGGAATAGGACTTACATACCTGGATGGGGTCAATGGACAATCAAGTAGGTCCATGGCCTAGGTCAGTGGTTTTCATTGCACTTGGAATGCCCCTGCTCTAAGGTCTACAAAATTGTAGAACCTACATCGTAATTTGTGAGTGTGGGCCTGCGATTCACGCGGCCCTTATTTGACTGTACTGAAGATTTGACCCTTATTTGAGTTATAGTAAATTTTATTTGACTGTACTGAAGATTTGACCCTTATTTGAGTTATAGTAAATTTTGCTTAATACTTATTTCAATATTCTGAACATGGGACACGAAAATGAGATTAAAGTTTAAATGAACTTCAGCCAACCTTTCCTTTTTTTTTTCTTTTCTATTTCAAATTGAGTTTCCAGACAATTCATAGATGATCTTTCATTTCACCTTTTACAAACTTGTTTATTGGCTTTTAAGATTGTTTTTACACTCAGATTTGCTCCTCCTTGTTTTTGCTAGTGTTTTCTTATTCTGTGACCCCTTACAATAATTTTTACCCATGTTCTTGGATGACAAGATTAATTCAATCAAATTAACTAGTTAGTTTTGTGTTGCATTGCCATGTTTGAGATGCAAAAAGTTCACAATAAACAGGTTAAAGTTTCTAAGAATATGAACCAATAATACACATAATTAAATGACAATGGTGTGGTCATCTTTAGTACAAAACCTTTGTAATATTTTTTCATTCAAAATATTTAAACTTGAGACTTTGTTTAAGAACACTAAATTCTGATATTACTGGAACTGATAACATTAAGAAGCAGGGGTTAGTGCTATTGGTGTGGATTTTTTAAACAATAATCTATTTTTCCTTTTCCTATTCTGTTTTATAATAAGTAACCCTAGAAAAAAAAAAGTGGTAGGTAGATTACAAAGGGTAATCACTGTTTTTCCAATTCAAATAGCCAATAGCTGTTCCATATTAATAGGAGATATGAATTTTGAAGGTCCTTTGAATATTTCATCCACAAATATGCGAGAAGCTGCCTCTGTAGGGTGGAATGCATCCCAGAAAACATGGTCTTGTCTGTTGGAACAAATGCTTGAAATTGGTAGACATGGAATTTGGGCATTCAACTCACCAAGTCCACAACAAGCACCTTTTACATTACCAAATCCTGCAAAGGGGATGCACACTTTGGTAAACATCTTCTCCTCATCTCAATCTAAGAAATTTTCTACAAATCACATACTTTCCAACATGCTAGTTTTTATTACATGTTTTGTAAAGTAATAATAAATATTAGTACACAATTTACTATGTATGATTATGAACTTTTTATTCATCATTTTAAAAGGGTTTACATGAAACAATTTGCCTGAGGAATGGTGGTGTCCTAATATCCAATATCTACACCAATAATAGTGTAAAGGCACAAAGGGTAATATGTTCTTACCATAAGAAGTTGAATTGTAAATGAGGTCCTGGAGGGCAGCATAAGTATCAAAATAGGAATAACTTATGTCTTTTTTCTCTAACTTCCATTCCTTTAACATGGATTGAAGGGCTTCATTGTATTTGGCTGACAAGTCATTTGCTGCAGAAACACATTCTGTTTTGTTCTTGAGCCTGTATGCAGGGCAGCACCCAATTGGACCAACACCAGCAACCTCAAATTTCTTTGCACCATTGTTGTATAATCTCTGCCAAACCAAATTAAAGTATATGTTTATCATAGATGTGTAAGTAAGTTCATTAACATGGTTTTAGACAAATGTTCACATGTTTGATTTCATACTGAAATTGATTGAGTTAAAATAGCTTTGGATAGCTTTTGCTTAAGTATAATTTAAATCCCTCCAAAATTAGTTCTAATCTGAACTAATTTCAATCAAAATGAACTTTGCAAGCACAAGTTCAACACATGCCAAGCTGCTGCTTACTGTTTGCAAGCATGGTGTTTACCTGTAGTTGAAGTTTTAATGTGGAAGCCATGGAAACTGCATACTGTTGAGGAGTGTTTTTCTTTTGAAGATCCTCTGAGTCAAAGTAACCAAAGATATCGTTGCCACCAATC